CTCCTTCCTTCCTTCGCCAACTGTTTCTTGGATCCCAGCAAAAAAGAACTCCCAGTTTTTCTTCCTTGTTGCTAAGATTCAATCCCACCCCTTTTTTCATGGCTCAGTTACTCCTCCTTGGAGTTGATTTAAATAAAATTCATACACTTAGTCAAAGTATGGTTTCACTGTGAGTCTAATGTAACTTCCAAATGCTTCAAACACCTTAGAAATACAAAAGTTTTTACTGCTTCCATACCTAAACTTGCAAAAATCACTGCTATTGACCAGTCTGTCATCTCTACAAAACTTATTTTAATGCTTTTCTAGGATTGCGCTTATTGGACCTGAAAGATGGTCTCCTTTGAGGGTGAGGTGGCAGCCTCCGGGTCACAGACTGACGAACTCTTGGTGGCAGCAGCATTTGCTGGTTGGGGCTCCCTCGGACCAGGTTCAATTGCTATGTCAACAGGACTCATGAAAACGTTCTTGCAACATTCACTCCCATGTACATTAAGTCTTAGGTACATGACGTTCTGCCACAGTTGACAATGACCTTCATTGTGTATCATTGCATTTCATGATAATGAGCAGGGCCATACAGCGGTTTAATCTACCAGCTATTCTCCTAGGACATTGGGCTCATTCATTAACTTGCCACTCTAGTTACCGAATCCCCTTTCTACCTGGTTATTTATGAGACCACCGGTCCTGACCTGCCCTTCCTGGTTTTGCACAATTCCTGCTCCTTCTGGAAATCCTTGACTTACTCCTAGTACACTTTTCCACCCCTTGCAACTTTCACAGGTATACCATTTCATAAACAGACAGACACAGAGAACATCCATTAAGAAACAGAACGCCGTAGATACTGAACTTTTTTTTTTTTTGAGTTGGAGTCGCACTCTGTAACCCAAACTGGAGTGCAGTGGCACGCTCCCAGCCACCGCAGCCTCAGCCTGCTGGGTTCCGGCAATTCTTCCACCTCAGTCTTCCAAGTAGCCGGAACTACAGGCATGTGCTACCACGCCCGGCTAAGTTTTGATTTACTGTAGAGATGAGGTCTCGCCAAGTTGCCCGGGCAGGTCTTGAACTCACAGGTTCAGGCAATCCACTTGCCTGGGCCTCCCGAAGTGCTGGGATTACAGGTTGAGCCATCTTACCTCCTTACTAAAGTATCCTGTTTTTACCATTTCTCTGAAATGTAAATAGCTTTGTAATGACATAGTAACATGTGTGTGTATATATATATATACATATATATACATACATATATATATACACATAAACATGTATATGTATATATATATACACATATATATGTATATATACATATATATATATATAAACTTTTAAAAAAATCATGAAGGACTCATGGCTTTTCAGAGTCAACATGTAGATCAACAACTATGGATCTACAGCTGTTCTTTGGATATGCAAATTGTCACAGCTGGCTGGCTCCTTTGTCCTTTCAGCAGCAGCCCAGAATTTTTGGAAGCATCCTGGTTTTCTGGGAATAGAAAGATGTCTCAGGTCATTCTGATGTTCTCTGACACAGCATCTTTGAATGTGCCCTGGCCACTGCTAATGAAAAATACTAGTGAGATCAGTATTTGGGTGCTGAGAGCACATTCAGGGTGCACAAGCAGATGGTGATGTGGTGGCATTCTACAGCCACTGAAGAGAAAGGAGGAGAAGATGTCGTTTCCTAGGTCATCATTAGATTCACAGTGAGATTGCTCATACAGTGCTAATGTTACTGTATCATTTTCCTTTATACAATTTTAAATGGATTATTTTCTACAATGCGATTTGTAACACTTAAACTGTTATGATCCCCACCTCTGATTTTATCGCTGTAGGCCTTAAGGCCTGTTATTTTGAGGTTACTTGTAGATACCCTTTGTCAAAACCTGTTTTCCAGAAAGCATCTTATGAAATTATGTCCCTAAATTATTGTTTTCATGTCAGTACGTATGTGTCATACTGCTATTGGATACAATTATAAAATTGACACAAATATATTGTTATGAAAATTGGCTATATCTTATGGCACTAAAAGCCGTTTCATGTCAACACATTTATCGACACAAATTCATGTCAACACATTTATCGACACAAATTCATTCAGGTGCTAGTCTCAGATGGCCAACTGCCACCAGTTGGCCAGCCAGGAGGCTGTTGTCCTCTAGGAACTAGCATTGAAGCCGGATGCCATTAATTATATACTTTTGAGTGATTTATATTTAATGCCACAAATGCTTCTCCACTAACTGAAGGTGTTTTGAAATACTACTGGCAAATAGAGAGAGTAAAGAGGTTTGCTGATTGAAAATGTGAAGCCACATAGCGAGGCTGTGGAGGAACTGGCTATGGACTCGTCTCTGGATCCATTTACAAACCTGGACTCCCCGTGGAAGGGACCATCTCTTGGTCATTCCCGTCTGTCTGCAGCCAGGACAGTTTGCAGTAATGATAGGCACTCAGTTAACTCTTCTTTGAATGATGAATGGGTGGGAGGAAGAACATGCCATGGGAATAATGCAGAAAATCATAGCTTTCCAAATAATTAACTTGGAAACATCACCCAGAGTCTACAATTTTTCCTTTTAATTTGACTTCAATATTCTGAGGTAATTGGGTTTTGAGATAAATTTGAAATTGCTTCGTTTCCAAAATTCATTTGGTCACAACATCCAGGAGCAGTCCATCTGCTAATCAATAAATAACATTTAGATGCTGCTGCAAGAAAGGCAAGCCAGCACAAAACCGATATTGTCAGCAACCCTGAACAACTCTAATTTCCTGACAGAAATCGATTAGCAGCAAAATAGTGATTATTGTAAATATTTATAGTTTCTAAAAGGAAAAGCTCATCCATGCAGCTTTTGGAGCAGTTTGCATCCAAAGAAAAGGTTTGGATGGGCCCCACCTTGCCATCTCTGGTGGCGTAGACACGGTGGCTATGCAGTAGCAACTCTATGGTTGCCTTGGAATGGGCTCTTTTGGAGGAGTGGTGGGCAGTTTGGGTGCATCCCCGATGGTGATGTGATTAAAAAAATGCTGCCCAAGGAGAGGTGAGTACCGCACCCGGCTCTTTGCTGGCTGGCTGTGTGATTTCAGAAAGCCATTTGACCTCTCTGGACATTCCTTTTTCTTATCTGGAAAAGAACAATAATCCTATCGGTCCAACTTAACCGCTCAGATTGTGAGGATGACATATGAAGGCATGGGAGGAAATACCTGTGAACATATGTTTGATGTACTGGGCAAATTTGGGGCCTGAAGTGGTTCCTTGTTTCCCAAGATCGGGATTAAGGATCAGGCAAAACACTCTGAGAAATCAGATGAGTCATGCTAAAACTCAAAGCCCATGGGAGTTTTTCTACGAAAAACTAAGTGACAGAGGCGAATGTGGTCAGTCAGTAACATGCAGTGGGTGCTGGGAAAACAAGGATGAAAAGAGCGGCAAGAACTCTGCCCTCATGGTCTAGTGGGGGAGAGGCTGTGCCAACAGAGAAATGGGGAACTGAGTAAGGGACCTACTGCCCACAACTGTGGGAACACAGGGCTCAAGCTTCAGTGCTGCCCAAGGAGAATTTCATCATGCCGGGCAGCAACCCGGGGTTATTCCAGGAAAAGACTGAACAGGCAAAAACTAGCCTTTCAGGGGAACCATAAAAACAAATCAGTGTTTCCCAAACTTCAGTCACTTGAGGTCTGCTCTTACATTTTTTGGGGGGGGGGGGGGGGGGGGGGAGGAGAGGGCACCGTTTCAGTTGGCTAATTTAATGAGCAAATGTAACCTGCATTTAAAAAGAAAACGTTGTATGACTACCATAAGTGAAAAAAACAAAAAAACCCGCTACCCTTTGTTATAGAAAATAGCCTTTAAAGACATAGGCAGTCATTCATAAGCGGACCCTGAACATTTACTAAAATACTACAAGAAAGGGATTGACTTGTGGGGGTGGGTGGGGGGAATTGGCAGTAGTGAGACTCCGCCAGGGAGGGAGGGCCACACCTCATCCACAAGGGTTCCTGCATAATGCACATTTGTATACCTTGTCCTGAAGTGCACCCCACATCTTTAAAATTAAACATTAAAAAAAGGGAGGGGGGATTGACAACAAAAAATAAACACCGGAAGCACAAACTCATTGATTCATTCCAAAAATAACTGTCAGGCTCAGTTCCAGTTTCTGGGGCTAAGGGGGTGACCAAGGCGGGCAAAGTTAAGCGTCCGAGACAAGTTAATGTCACACGGGAACACGCACTGGGAGGAACCCATCAAGCGATGAGGATGGTCCCTTTAGATGGACTGGGGGGGGGGGGCTTGAGGGAGATAAAGCGCGGGTCCTTAACATCAAACTCGGCAACAGGCTCCATTTTTCCCAGACACGGCTGCCGCTGAAGGCTGAGCCCGAGGCAGGACAAAAAGCCAAGAGTCAGAAGGCTGCTCGCACCCAGTTGAGACTTTTTACGGGACCCAAAGAGCCGAGCCCGCAGCCGAAGGCAGCACCTTCTCACGTCCGCCGCTCTCGGGGCAGCTCCAGCCCAGCTGGGTCCCCATCCTGCTCTCGGGGAAACCCGGCGCCCTCTGAGCGGGATGCAGGCCGCCGCCGCCGCCAAGGACAAATTCGTAAACGGAGGCCGAGGAAAGTGAACTCCCAGCCCCAAGTTAGTTAGCGAAAGGTAGAACGGGGCCACGAACCCCGAGCTCTCCTCCCACGTGCAGCCAGGCGGCCCCCATCCTGCGGGTCTCAGGGTGGGCGGGCAGATGCGGCCCACAGCCGGGAAGACTCCTAATCCGGAGATCCGCCCTCCGGGCCTCCCGAGAGTCCATTCCTGGGCGTGGCTCAAAACGCGGAGGGGGGGGGTCGAATCCGCGGAGCAGGAGAAGAAGCCCGGCCTCCAGCCGCGAGCATGCGCGTTAGCCCGACTCCGCTGGGCCGCGCTCGGCGCCGGGGGCGGGTCACCCGAGGCGGACGTCCGCTACGCAGGCGTCTGCGCCCGGTGGGGAGGAGGGCGAAGACTCCATCCGCCATGTTGGATGCCGCAGATTCGCCATAACCTCGCCGGCTCTTTTCTTAAAAAAATAAAAATAACAGCGAAGCGTCAGCGGGGCGCCTAGCTTTCTCGGTCGGCGAGGGGAGGGCCCCGGAAGAGCTCGAGGCTTTTTTTTTCTTCCGCGGTGGGGGCGTTGCCATGGAGACGCGGGCGGCAGGTAAGCC